CCACCCCCCGGGGGGGGGGGCAAGCAAGGCCTGTGGGGCAGTTCTCCTCCGCAGACTCCGGAGCCGGCTTCCCTCTCCCCCTCCCGCCCAGACCCGCAGCCTGAGAAACCTCAGAGGCGCCCAGCTCAAAGCAGAAGGCGCCCAGCACCCGTGGCCTCCGTTCAGGACTCGAGGTCCCTCCAAACGCACAGGCCCAGGCCTGAACTCTGACGAGCCTGGGGAGAGGCAGGGTGGCAAGCAGACCCGACCCGACCGTGGCTGGCTTGGCGCTCGGACAGACGGTGCCCCCCCCCAACCCGGCCAACGGGGCAGCCTTTCCCCGGCTCCACCCCCCCCCCCGCATCGCTCAGCCTCGCCTCCTCCGAGGGGCGGCCGCAGCGAGTCCAGACCTGAGGCGGAGGCCGGCCTTTCCTGCCCCCAGAGGAGGGCTCAGGGGATGCACCTGGAAGACCTTCTGCACGCAGAGCCCCTATATGCTCCACCACCACAGAGCGGCAGCCTCGTCCGGCAGGAGGGCACCCGTGTGCATGGTGTCCCCACCGAAGGGCCCTGCACACCTCCACCCCACACGGCCCCGCCAGGAAGTCAGGAAGGTCCACACACACCTCCCCTTTCCTCCTCTCCCTCCCGCCTGCAGCCACGCAGCAGCGCCCTGAGAACCCACCGCTGGGCTGGGAAAGCTGCTTGCGGGATGGGGGGGCAGAGAGGCAGGCAGCGCTCCCAGCAGGACTCCAGAATCCCGTGCCCCCCCCCTCCCCGACAGGGGCGGGCAGCGTCCTCCCTGCGGCCGGGGCTCGGACAGTCTGCGCGTGGCCTCCCTGCCAGCAGGTACCTTTTGCTGAATGGTGGAGTGTTTTTGCTCCATCTCCCTCTTCTCCCGCGCAGCATCCACTGCCAGCCCGTCCAGCTGCAGGAAGGAAGGGGGGAAAGGGCACTTCAGGGGAAAGACCTGCCGGGAGCCCCTGCCCCACCCCCTCCAGAGATGTACCTGGACGCCCCCGCCCCCCACCCCGCCCTGCCTGCCTGCCCTTCGCTGCTCCCGTCCCAAGGAGCTCTCCTGCCTATGGTGGGGCAGGAGGCCTGTCCAGTTCCCTGCCTCCCCTCCAAGGAGCCGGCAGCTTCCAAGAATAGCAGTGGTGCCAGGGACACGCGGCTGGTGCATCGCGCTGGAGAAAAAAGATGACTCATGCGCCCAAGCAGCCAGCAGGCCAGCAAGCCGGCTGGTCGGCCAACCGCCCCCCCCCTTCTCCCTCCTTCTAGCAGCAGGAGCCCTGAGCCAGGAGCAGGCGAGAGGACCCATTTCTCAGGCGAGAGTAGCACCCGGGCCTCTGGCGCCTTCTCAGGGCAGGGGGGAAACTGGTCCCGGTGGAGGAGGTGGTGAGCCTTTCAAAGGCAAATTGGGGGGGGGGGCTTAACCCCTTCCAGTCCCACTCGGCTCCACCAACCGAAGGGCAGGTCCCCGGCCAGGAGAAGAGGAGCAAGGCCCTTTTCGTCCCCGTCCCCCTTGCAGGGCTCTAAGGTGTGTGTGGGCAGCCGTGGCTGGGCGGTGGGGGGCCTGCCGGGGAGGCGGGAGGGCAGTCCCAGCTCTCTTGAGATGACAGGTTCTCACCCAGGGCAGGTGCTGGAGAGAAGACGGGGGGGGGGGGGGGG